CAACCTTCCAACCTACTTCAACCCTTAACATACCTACAGCATATCCACATCTAACTAACTGAACCTGAGCTAAGTTAAGCTAACAACTCTCCCTGAGTAGATCGTATTTACCCTCAGGTGTTTATACCCCTCAGGTGTTATACCCCTCAGGTGTTATACCCCTCAGGTGTTATACCCCTGTCACGCCCTGACTCAGGGGACTCTTATATGTAATATAAACATGTACGTATATCACGCTGCGCCTTGGTCTGACCCGTCATTGAACACCCCTCAGGTGTTATACCCTTCAGGTGTTAGTCATTTGTAATAGTTGTGGTTCAGTAAGTAAAGAGCTTTACTTGGTAAATAGATAAACTACAATACAAACTAAATCACTTGGCATTACCTTAGATTGTAAACTGTCATGGTCAAAACATATAGATTCAATGGTTGTAAAGATGCGGAGAGGTCTGTCCGTAATAAAGAGATGCTCTGCTTTTTTGACACCACACTCCAAAAAGCAAGTCCTGCAGGCTCTAGTTTTATCTTGATTATTGTCCAGTCATATAGTCGAGTGCTGCATGGATAGACCTAGTTAAGCTGCAGCTGGCCCAGAACAGAGCAGCACGTCTTGCTCTTCATTGTAATCAGAGGGCAGATATAAATACTATGCATGCCAGTCTCTCTTGGCTAAGAGTTGAGGAGAGACTGACTGCATCACTTCTTCTTTTTATAAGAAACATTCATGTGTTGAAAATCCCAAATTGTTTGCATAGTCAATTTGCACACAGCTCTGACACACACATTTACCCCACCAGACATGCCACCAGGGGTCTTTTCACAGTCCCCAAATCCAGAACAAATTCAAGAAAGCGTACAGTATACTATAGAGCCATTATTACATGGAACTCTGTTCCATCTCATATTGCTCAAATAAACAGAAAACCGGGTTTCAATAAACAGATATAGCAACACCTCACGGCACAACGCCTCTCCCCTATTTGACCTAGATAGTTTGTGTGTATGTATTGATATGTAGGCTACGTGTGACTTAAAAAAAACATGTATGTAGTTCTGTCCTTGAGCTGTTCTTGTCTATTAATGTTCTGTATTATGTCATGTTTCATGTTTTGTGTGGACCCCAGGAAGAGTAGCTGCTGCTTTCGCAACAGCTAATGGGGATCCTAATAAAATACCAAATACCAAACTATAGTATAAACTACAGTCTAAACTACAGTCTAAACTACAGTGTCAACTACAGTGTCAACTACAGTCTAAACTACAGTCTAAACTACAGTGTCAACTACAGTCTAAACTACAGTGTCAACTACAGTATTAACTACAGTATTAACTACAGTATAAACTACAGTGTCAACTACAGTATAAACTACAGTCTAAAATACAGTCTAAACTACAGTCTAAACTACAGTCTAAACTACAGTGTCAACTACAGTATTAACTACAGTATTAACTACAGTCTAAACTACAGTATAAACTACAGTATAAACTACAGTCTAAACTACAGTCTAAAATACAGTGTCAACTACAGTATTAACTACAGTATAAACTACAGTCTAAAATACAGTATAAACTACAGTCTTAACTACATTCTAAACTACAGTATTAACTACAGTCTAAACTACAGTCTAAAATACAGTCTAAACTACAGTATTAACTACAGTCTAAACTACAGTCTAAAATACAGTCTAAACTACAGTATTAACTACAGTCTAAACTACAGTCTAACTAAACATCCATATTCACCCCTTCATCCCTAATCTGCCCAGAGATGCAGGCCCTTGCCGAGCTGATTGGTCCGTACGGTCTCAAGTTCCTCAGTGAGAACCTGATGTGGCACATCACCTCACAAGTCGGAGAACTCAAGGTAGGATTAAGCATCAAACAATTACAGACGGCTCATAAATATCTCTCAGAAGGCTGGCTGGTGGTCTATCTCTGATCTGCCGCTGTTGAACGATGAAGTCAGTCTTACTCCCCCCACCCAGTCCAAAAGGAGATGAAGGTCATTGTGTCCTGAACATCCCTTTTTGAATTTATATTTAAAAAAGGATCTTATTTGTCCCTGCTTAAATAAAGGTTAAATCCACATACCGTCTGAAAGAGAGAATGTCTCTTCATCAATGTGTTATTCCAACTTACAGGACATGATAGAAAGTTGACAAGATAAGTGCATTAATTTCACTGATCTGTGGATGGAGTACTTTAACATGGGTAGTTTTAAAGAAAAAATAGTGCCGTAAGAGCAGGGAACGAGAAGGAGAAAGCAAGAGAAGAGAAGAGCAGAAAGCAGAGAGAAAGAGCCAATGACGAACCGACGAAATGCTCCCAACGGATAGAAAGAGAAGAGATAGCGCGACCCCAGAGCATCCGGCGACCTCTACCAGACCGAAGATCCCCGTCCTCTGATCCTCTTCTTAGCTGCGACCTCCCTCCAGGGCGTACATACTCTCCTCTCCTCTCCTCTCCTCCATCCATCTCCTCTCCTCTCCTCTCCTTCCTCTCTCTCCTTCCTCTCCTCTTCTCTCCTCTCCTCTTCTCTCTCTCCTCTCTCCCTCTCCATCAGAAACTGGTGATAGAGAACATGGATGTGCTAGTTCAGATGAGAGCTAACTTTGACAAACCCGAGGCCATGGCTAACCTCCAAAAGAGACTGCCTGGTAACACAAGCGGATGCACGCACACACACACACACACACACACGCACGCACACACACGCACACACACACGCACGCACACACCACACACACACACACCACCACACACACACACACACACACACACACACGCACACACACACGCACGCACACACACGCACACACACACACGCACGCACACACACACACACACACACACACACACACTAACCTCCAGAGGAGAGCGCCAAGTGAGCTGCTGGGGGGAACAGGAGGAAGATGAGAAAACAGCCAAACAGAATGCTTTATCAATTGATGGTGATGTGAAACACCTCAGGGGGACTGAATCCCGTCTGATCCTGTTAGATCTGTGCAGTACACAACTGGAGCTCAACCAATTGACATCATGATTTCAGAGATGTCAAGCATGGATTCAGTTTTTTGATCACAAGGTCTCGGGTGCTGTGCCTCATGATACTAAAAGGAAAATAGATTGAATGAATGTAGCTTTTCCTCTCTTGTCTTCCTGTCCAGCGGGAGAGAACGTCCTAAAGAGGATGACCATCATCGGAGTGATCCTGTCCTTTAGGACCATGGCACAGGACACACTGGAAGACGTGAGACACACTTACACTTATGATATACTGAACGGAGCATTTAATGAATTCCCCCTCTTGTGGGTATAGGGCTGTTGTGTGTATTGTTTGTGTCATGTTATAACAGTGTAAAGTCAGTTGTCAACAAGGTGACACCAGCTGCCACGACTGTTTATGATATCTGTTGAGTCGCTCTTATGATGGAGGCTTCAAATAAAGTATTGATTTCCTGCAGAAAACTCTCCTGGCCCTAGGAACCGTATGACCAAGCTAATCCCTCTTTTCCCTGTCTTCAGATCATGCAGAAGCATTGCCCCTACCTGATGGGGCCCATTGAGAGCCTGAGGGACCTGGTCTCCCCTGACACAGACATCAAGGTACAGTATAAACATCTCCCTGGTCTAGAGTAGAGCATTGATGCAGAACAGATAAATATCACAGCAAATGTTCTGTTCTTCCATAAATCTTCCTTACAAATACGTAGGCATACAGCATGTTTTGCTTAGGTTTGGAAAATTTGAACATAATCTGAGAGTAAATAATAGGATAGGATAGGATAGGATAGGATAGGATAGGATAGGATATGATAGGATAGGGTAGGATAGGATAGGATAGAATAGGATAGGCTAGGATAGGATAGGATAGGATAGGATAGGATAGGGTGGATAGGATAGGATAGGATAGGATAGGATAGGCTAGGCTAGGCTAGGCTAGGTAGGGTAGGGTAGGATAGGCTAGGATAGGATAGGCTAGGATAGGATTATGATAGGGTTAGGTGAGGATAGGATAGGATTAGGATAGGATAGGATTAGGATAGGTATAGGATAGGATAGGGTAGGATAGGATAGGATATGAAAGGGTAGGATAGGATAGGATAGGATAGGATAGGCTAGGCTAGGATAGGATAGGCTAGGATAGGCTAGGATAGGATAGGTAGGCTAGATAGGGCTAGGATAGGATAGGATATGATAGGATAGGATAGGATATGATAGGGTAGGATAGGATATGGATAGGGTAGGATAGGATAGGATAGGTAGCTAGGATAGGTAGGATAGGATAGGATATGGGTAGGATAGGATAGGATAGGGTAGTGGTAGGGTAGGGTAGGGTATGGAAGGGTAGGGTAGGGTGGAGGATAGGATAGGATAGGTGGAGGTAGGGTAGGTAGGGTAGGGTGATAGGTAGGTAGGTAGGGTAAGGTAGGATAGGAGTAGGGTAGGGTAGGGTAGGAGAGGGTAGGGTAGGAGAGGGTAGGGTAGGGTAGGGTAGGGTAGGGTAGGGTAGGGTAGTGTAGGCTAGGTAGGTAGGGTAGGATAGGATAGGGTAGGAGGGTAGGGTAGGTAGGAGGTAGGGTAGGGTAGGGTTAGGTAGGGTAGGTAGGTAGGTAGGGTAGGTAGGGTATAGGTAGGGTAGGGTAGGGTTAGGGTAGGGTAGGGTAGGGTAGGGATAGGGTAGGGTAGGGTAGGTAGGGTAGGGTAGGGTAGGGTAGTAGGATAGGGTAGGGTAGGGGTAGGGTTAGGGTAGGGTAGGTAGGGTAGGGTAGGAGTAGGATAGGATAGGCTAGGCTAGGGTAGGGTAGGGTAGGGTAGGGTAGGGTAGGATAGGCTAGGCTAGGATAGGATAAGCTAGGATAGGATAGGATAGGGTAGGGTAGGATAGGGTAGGGTAGGATAATTACCAATAAACAATGGTTAATACGGTAGCTTGTTTGAATTACAGTGTTACTATTTTCACATCAGTGTCAGTTATCGAACATGAGTAGAGCAGTAGAGCAACAGAGCAGCAGAGCAACAGAGCAACAGAGCAACAGAGCAGCAGAGCAACAGAGCAGCAGAGCAACAGAGCAGCAGAGCAACATAGGAACAGAGCAGCAGAGCAGCAGAGCAACAGAGCAGCAGAGCAGCAGAGCAACAGAGCAGCAGAGCAACAGAGCAGCAGAGCAACAGAGCAACAGAGCAGCAGAGCAGCATAGCAACAGAGCAGCAGAGCAGCATAGCAACAGAGCAACAGAGCAGCAGATCAACAGAGCAGCAGAGCAACATAGGAACAGAGCAGCAGAGCAGCAGAGTAACAGAGCAGCAAAAAGCTTATTTATGAGTTGTCTCTGACTGTGGAAAGCCCCCTGGCCTGCTTTCGTGTAGGACAGACAAAGCAAACATGCCAGACCTGGGTTCAAATACTATTGGAAATCCTTAAAAATAACTTTAGCTGTGCTGGATTGAGCTTGTGTAGTGCAATGGAACCAATAGAAAAGTCCCAAAAGTGCCAACCCTGCCAACCTGGCACTCCAAGCAGGCTAAAACAAATACTTAAAGTATTTGAAAGATTTCAAATAATATTTGAACCCAGGTCTGCAGAGAAAACATGACATGCCACAGACTGGTTCAGGATAACCCCTAAGACGTCAGCAGCACCAGCCACCAAGCAGAGGCAGGCTGACCTCCCTGAGAGAGACACATAATGTCTGTCTGGTCTGCAACCTCTCAGCTAAAATAACCACCTCAACGGGAACATTCTGCCCCCCACCAAAATCCCCCACTTCCAAACCCCACGCTACAGAAAGAGGGAACAGTAGTTAACCAATGTTTTATTGTCTCAGTTTAGGAAAAAATATTCACTTAATGGAGGCCCTTTGCTCCGCTAGAAGCTAAAAGGAACAAATAAGCTGAATAAATAAATGGAGGCTTCTTTAAGATATATATATTGTTAAAGACATCTTGTTTAAATGATTCAGGTAACCCTAACGGTGTTTGAGCTGGCGTCTGCGGCAGGTCTGACTTGTGACATCGACCCTGCCCTAGTGGCAGCCATCGCTAGTATGCGTACAGGTAAATACAATAGTCCCTGGTGGGATGTCAGTGTTTATACTGGTCATGTTCCAAGACTATCCGGCTCGAAGGACCACTTTATGGGTTTTGCCCGATACAGCTTTATGACAGGACAGCAGGATTCCACAACGTATCCCTCTCTATAGCTGGCCTCTGCACCGATTGGCTAAAAGTCAAACAAATGTACAGAAAATGAACCTATTAATGCATATTAATAGAAATGCTTGTGTATCTTTCAACTTTCTTTTTTTTTTTTTTTAGTTTCTCTAAACTCTAGAAAACATTATTTTCTAGAGTTTAGAAAAAAAAAAAAAAAAAAAAAAAGGAAAGTTTGCTAAATATGAGTTGTTCTCTCCAGATAACTCGTCTGTTGATGAGGAGTACAAACTGACGTGCCTCCTCCTGATTTACATCGCGGTGTCACTGCCCACACTGGCCCTGGACCCCAACTCCTACTACAGCAGACATTATGGAGGTAAGGACAGGGTTGTTGACTTGTGATACATCTTCTTAAATGTCCTTTTTCGCTCCCTATGGAGCATAAGGTCACAACAACCCTAGCGATACATGTAGTTCACTGCAAAACCAACAACGTTAGTTACATTGTGTCGCTGCCTACTCTGGCCCTGAACCCCAAACTCCTCTTACGGTCGACTGTATGGAAGTGAGGATGTTCATTTAATCTGACAACCTTTATTATACCCTTGGGGAAATTATTCTTGCAGGGCTGTATGTTGACCTTAACGTGATACACGTAGTTCACTCCCCCCCAAAAAAAACAGCATTTAAAATGTTTTCTTTGCGGATCTCGAAATCTGCTCCAATGTGAAGTTGAGTGCATGTCTGATTCACGTGTTCATGTGTTTATTTGGATCCTAATTAGGTGTTAAAATAGCAAAAGCTACACTTCTCATGCCATCTGTTGTGTGTAGATTAGTGCTGAGCGATTAACCGAAATGAATAGGTCAGCACTAGTGTAGATCCAGCTCTAATCGCTCTGCACTATTTTAGATCCAGCTCTAATCGCTCTGCACTAGTGTAGATCCAGCTCTAATCGCTCTGCACTAGTGTGGATCCAGCTCTAATCGCTCTGCACTAGTGTAGATCCAGCTCTAATCGCTCAGCACTAGTGTAGATCCAGCTCTAATCGCTCTGCACTAGTGTAGATCCAGCTTTAATCACTACACTAGTGTAGATCCAGCTTTAATCACTACACTAGTGCAGATCCAGCTTTAATCACTACACTAGTGTAGATCCAGCTTTAATCACTACACTAGTGTAGATCCAGCTCTAATCGCTCTGCACTAGTGCAGATCCAGCTTTAATCACTACACTAGTGTAGATCCAGCTCTAATCGCTCTGCACTAGTGTAGATCCAGCTCTAATCGCTCTGCACTAGTGCAGATCCAGCTTTAATCACTCTACACTAGTGTAGATCCAGCTCTAATCGCTCTGCACTAGTGTAGATCCAGCTGTAATCCCTCAGCACTAGTGTAGATCCACCTGTATGCTGAATAGGAAGGACACAGTAGGTACTGGGTCATTTGAATCTTTCAGGGGTGAATCATAAGTAACATTTTCACCTAATTTCCCAATGACGTCAGTGCTCGACTAAGTGAAATTCACTGTGAGTGGAAGTTAGAATTTGCCATACTTATGCTAACTGGTTCAATGCGGTTGACATTCCACAGACACCAGTCACACCAGTTTACCAGAACTTAGGAGCACAGTGACATCAATGCAGTCATCACTGTGACACCTTTGAAAGCTATTAATTCCCCCACTGACTTTAACTCAGAGAGGTTGACTAATGAAATACATTTTTTTACTAGGGACTCTGCCTGCGTCCCAAATGACCCTTCACCCCCAATAGTGCACTACTTTTGACCAGGGCTCATAGGGAAGTGCACTATATAGGGAATAAGGTGCCATTTTGGACACAGCCTTTTTTTACAGACAGCTTAATGCTCACATGTTTTCATAAAATTAGTCTTGTCAAACAGCCTGTTAAGTGAGTTGGCACAGAGCCAGATGAAAATCTGTGGATCAATAGTCAGCGAGATGGTGACATCAGAGATGGCATTCATTTTCAGGTTTTTCTCTCTGCGTTTAAACATGGCCTGGAATGAAAGGATTCGGAAACCCTGATGAAAGACAGGTTCTGTCGAAACGTCGGCAGATTGTTGTTGTTACATCGGAGATATAGAATGTGTGGCCATCTTCTTTTGTATTGGTGCTGGATCTAAAGGATACCTTCTAAGGTCTAGGGAGTTGACTGTTCATTTAGTTAGGTTTCCCTCTAGCAGTGTGGCTCTGGCTTCTGCTTTGATGATTGATTGATTGACCGCAGGGCACCACAACAACATCCATTGTCTGGCCATGGCCATCAACCAGCTGATTGAGTGAATGATTGATTGCAGGGCACCGCAACAAAATCCACTGTCTGGCCATGGCCATCAACTAGCTGACTGATTGATTGATTGATTGATTGATTGATTGACCGATTGATTGAACACAGGGCACCACAACAACATCCATTGTCTGGCCACGGCCGTCAATCAGCTGTCTGCAGCCATGTTCACCGCCGAGAACAAGAACATAGAACAGCACCTCAAGGAGTTCCTCCTGGTACGTAATCAACCTGAAACACATCTCGGAAACAAGTCATATTGATACGGGACATTCTCATCTAATAAAACAGTTGTCCTGTAGTTTTAAATGAACTGCAAAGGTGATCCTATTCTTCCAGGTGGCGTCATCCACTCTGCTCCAGCTGGGTCAGAATGTAGAGAATAGAATGGACAGCAAGAACAGAGACTCCATCTACCTTCTCCTGCACATGGTAGGCTCAGGTCTCCTTGGAAACATGCATAGCCTACAGTATTTCTACTTATAGTAATGTTGAAAATGGCAGGGCCCCATAACGAGGTCCCTATGGGCCGTTCTGGCTCGGACAAGGATTACTGACTGGCCCATAACAAGGTCCCAGACGTTTCCCCTGTCAGGTCACATGGTCAGGAGAAAACGTCTGACTTTAGTCAATAATCATTTTTACTGTACATTAACCTTTTAGTCTGCATGAATAATGTATTCTCTTCACCTGATTGTCCACCTACCTACTCTATAGATCGTGGAGGCGTCTCCGTTCCTGAGCCAGGACATGTTGGAGAGCTGTTTCCCTTATGTCCTGTTGAGGAACGCCTACAGAGAGGTCTACAAGACCTTCATCATTACGCTGGGCTAACACACACACACACACACACACACACACACACACACCACACACACTGCTGAGGAACGCCTACAGAGAGGTCTACAAGACCTTCATCATTACGCTTGGGCTAACACACACACCACACACACACACCACACACACACACACACACACACACTGCTGAGGAACGCCTACAGAGAGGTCTACAAGACCTTCATCATTACGCTGGGGCTAACACACACACACACACACACACACACACACACACACACACACACACACACACTGCTGAGGAACGCCTACAGAGAGGTCTACAAGACCTTCATCATTACGCTGGGCTAACACACACACACACACACACACACACACACACACACACACACACACACACACATTGCTGAGGAACGCCTACAGAGAGGTTCTACAAGACCTTCATCATTACGCTGGGCTAAACACACACACACCACACACACACACACACACACACACACACACACACACACACACATATATATATATACACACACACACACGCACACACACACACACACACACACGGCTGAGGAACGCCTACAGAGAGGTGTACAAGGCCTTGATTAAATCCCTGGGCTGACTGCGCTGAGTATCCAGCATACCCTCTTCTATGTTGGGATTCAATCCCCCTTAATGGCTTTTGTAGACGAATGGCTTTTTGTAGACAATGTGGCTTTTAAAGCCAATGTTACCGTGTTCGTCAAGCATGCTATAGCGCAGTTTCAGATTGAATCCAGGCTTTAGTCTCTGATGTCGACAAATACTGCCTCTGCTTCTGCTCTGTGGGGTCTAGGTCGGGTTACTGTAAAAGCACTGTGGGGTCTAGGTCGGGTTACTGTAAAAGCACTGTGGGGTCTAGGTCGGGTTACTGTAAAAGCACTGTGGGGTCTAGGTCGGGTTACTGTAAAAGCACTGTGGGGTCTAGGTCGGGTTACTGTAAAAGCGCTTTGTGACAACTGCTGATGTAAAATGGGATTTATAAATAATATTGATTGATTTGTTACTATGCACAGCTAACAAAATATATATAGCTTTGTAACCTTTCAGAAATTATATAAGCTTTATTTAGCCATTAAAGGGTTTATGAAGAGAAAATGTCAAATCGTTTTTGGAGGGATCTTGAAAAAATGCAATACTTCCTCCCATTTTCTATGAATACAGGTAACTGACATTTATTTCATTGTGTGTTTACAGTACAAGAGAACAACAACATGCACATTACACACAGTACACTAACAGAGTGTATTTCCAGCCCACTTCTCAAATAGAGTACCTCCCAACCTGTACCCACCATCCCCTGTGTTCAATCCTGAGGTCTGTTGTTAGGCTGGGGAGAGTGTGTCCCATCCTGTGGTGTGTGTGTGTGTTTGTGTGTGTGTGTGTGTTTGTACTGGGCCTCCCAATGGTCTAGATTAGAATGTCTAGGTAGGGCCTCTATGTACGGTACTCAGAGGAAGGACACAGGCTACAGGCTGGAGAGTTGGTGGGCCAAATGTAGGCTCAACCAAAACAGCCCACACCCCAGTGGATAGGAACACCTCACACCCCAGTGGATAGGAACACCTCACACCCCAGTGGATAGGAACACCTCACACCCCAGTGGAGAGGAACACCCCACACCCCAGTGGATAGGAACACCCCACACCCCAGTGGATAGGAACACCTCACACCCCAGTGGATAGGAACACCCCACACCCCAGTGGATAGGAACACCTCACACCCCAGTGGATAGGAACACCTCACACCCCAGTGGATAGGAACACCCCACACCCCAGTGGATAGGAACACCCCACACCCCAGTGGATAGGAACACCTCACACCCCAGTGGATAGGAACACCCCACACCCCAGTGGATAGGAACACCTCACACCCCAGTGGATAGGAACACCCCACACCCCAGTGGATAGGAACACTTGACACCCCAGTGGATAGGAACACCCCACACCCCAGTGGATAGGAACACCTCACACCCCGGTGGAGAGGAACACCCCACAACCCGGACGGATAGGATCACCTCTGGAGGTAGTCAGGCACGCATTGTGTCTGGATACCAATCAAGTGTAAACAGATCTGGATGGTCAAATCATTTAAATCAGCATTATACTGGCCTCTAAAATCAGTGACAGGTAGCACCATTGACCTATGGCATCAGTAAATACAGTTGAAGTCGAAAGTTTACACACACCTTAGCTAAATACATTTAAACTCAGCTTTTCAATTTCCTGACATTTAATCCTAGTAAAATATGCCCTGTCTTAGGTCAGTTAGGATCACCACTTCATTTTAAGAATGTGAAATGTCAGAATAATAGTAGAGAGAATGATTTATTTCAGCTTTTATTTATTTCATCACATTCCCAGTGGGTCAGAAGTTTACATACACTCAATTAGTATTTGGTAGCATTGCCTATAAATTGTTTAACTTGGGTCAAACGTTTCGGGTAGCCTTCCACAAGCTTCCCACAATAAGTTAGGTGAATTTTGGCCCATTCCTCCTGACAGAGCTGGTGTAACTGAGTCAGGTTTGTAGGGGAGGGGGGGAGGGGGGGGGGGGGGGGGTTAATGAGAAAGAAGAATTGGTGAATGACCTTGATACCTCTCACCACAGTGAGGCCTTGTCCCAGCTCCCAGTGAGGCCTTGTCCCAGCTCCCAGTGAGGCCTTGTCCCAGTTCCCAGTGAGGCCTTGTCCCAGTTCCCAGTGAGGCCTTGTCCCAGTTCCCAGTGAGGCCTTGTCCCAGTTCCCTGTGAGGCCTTGTCCCAGCTTCCTGTGAGGCCTTGTCCCAGTTCCCTGTGAGGCCTTGTCCCAGCTTCCTGTGAGGCCTTGTCCCAGTTCCCAGTGAGGCCTTGTCCCAGTTCCCAGTGAGGCCTTGTCCCAGTTCCCAGTGAGGCCTTGTCCCAGTTCCCTGTGAGGCCTTGTCCCAGTTCCCTGTGAAGCCTTGTCCCAGTTCCCTGTGAGGCCTTGTCCCAGTTCCCAGTGAGGCCTTGTCCCAGTTCCCTGTGAGGCCTTGTCCCAGTTCCCAGTGAGGCCTTGTCCCAGCTCCCTGTGAGGCCTTGTCCCAGCTCCCTGTGAGGCCTTGTCCCAGTTCCCTGTGAGGCCTTGTCCCAGTTCCCTGTGAGGCCTTGTCCCAGTTCCCAGTGAGGCCTTGTCCCAGTTCCCTGTGAGGCCTTGTCCCAGTTCCCAGTGAGGCCTTGTCCCAGTTCCCAGTGAGGCCTTGTCCCAGGGTTTCCCAGTGAGGCCTTGTCCCAGTTCCCTGTGAGGCCTTGTCCCAGTTCCCTGTGAGGCCTTGTCCCAGTTCCCTGTGAGGCCTTGTCCCAGTTCCCAGTGAGGCCTTGTCCCAGTTCCCTGTGAGGCCTTGTCCAGTTCCCAGTGAGGCCTTGTCCCAGCTCCCTGTGAGGCCTTGTCCCAGCTTCCTGTGAGGGCCTTGTCCCAGCTTCCAGTGAGGCCTTGTCCCAGTTCCCTGTGAGGCCTTGTCCCAGTTCCTGTGAGGCCTTGTCCCAGTCCCATGAGGCCTTGTCCAGTCCGTGAGGCTTCCCAGCTCCAGTGAGGCCTTGTCCAGTCCCGTGAGGCCTTGTCCAGCTCCCAACGTCCATGACAAGGGTAGTCATGGGACGAAACTATGTGAAATAGCCTGCTTCTAGTGATGGTTCTGAGCAACTGTTTTGTGGTACTAGCGTCGGGTACCTGTAAAAAGCGCTTGTTGACTAACTGCTGCTGTAAAATTGGGCATTTAAATAATATTGATTGATGTTACTATGCAAGCTAACAAAATATATATAGCTTGGTAACCTTTTCAGAAAGTAGATAAGCTTTATTATAGCCATCTATGTAAAGGGTTTATGAAGAGAATTAATGTCAAATCGTTTTGGAGGGATCCTGAAAAAATTCCTAATACTGTCTACCATTTCTTTTATGAATACAGGTAACCCTGGACATTTATTTCATGGTGTGTTTGACTAGTACAATGACGACACAACATTAACATGCTTACTATTACACACAGTCACTAACAGAGTGTATTGCCCTCCAAGCCTCCCCTTCCAAATAGTAGTACCTCCAACATGTACCCACCCTCCGACTGTGTTCAATCTGGGGCCTCTGTTGTTAGGCTGGGGAGAGTGTGTTTCCATCCGGTAGCTGGGTGGGTGTCTTGTGGTGTGTGTGTGGTGTGTGTGGTCGTGTGTTTCGTACTGGGCCTTCCCAATGGTCTCTAGATTCGAATGTCTAGGTAGGGCCTCTCTATGTACGGTATAATCAGAGGAAGGACACAGGCTACTGGCTGGAGAGTGTGTGGGCCAAATGTAGGACTCAAACCAAACACCCCAACACCCAAGTGGATAGGAACACCTCACACCCCAGTGGAGAGGAACACCCCACACCCCGGTGGATTAGGATCACCCCATACCGGTGGATAGGAACACCGCAACACCAACCCGCATGGATAGGATCACCTCTGACGGTAGTTCAGCGCATTTGTGTCTGGAGATAACCAATCAAGTGTAAACCGATCTGGATGGTCAAATTCATTTAAATCAGCATTATACTGGCCTCTAACCATCAGCCAGTGACAGGTAGCACCACTGACCTATGGCATCAGGTAAATACAGTTGAAGTCGAAAGTTTACATAACCTCGCTAAATCACATTTACACTCAGCTTTTCCATTTCATGAAATTTAATTCCTCAGTATAAATATGCACTGTCTTAGTCAGTTAGGATACCACTCATTGAAGAATGTGAAATGTCAGAATAATAGTGGAAGGAGAATGGAGTTATTTCAGCTTTATTTAGTTCATCACTATTCCCAGTGGGTCAGAAAGTTTACATACACTAATAGTATTTGGTAGAATTGCCTTTAATGTTAACTTGGGTCAAACGTTTCGGGTGCCTTCCACAAGCATTCCCACATAAGTTAGGTGAATTTGGCCCATCCTCCTGACGAGCTGGTTGTAACTGAGTCCGGTTTGGAGTTAAAGGACTCCTTGCTCGCAAAGATTTTT